CCCCTTCTCCTATTGGCCTCAGTTGCTTTAAAGTTTCTGCTTTAGTTTCTCTGCATTGAGGGCAACAAATGCTCTCTAGTTTTTTAGGTGTCTTACCATCCTCATACCTCCCTTGTGTGCTCTCACTTTATCTTGTGATCAAAGTTCAATCCCCTTGTTGTGTTTGCCCTTGATGTAATGTCCGCATATGAGGGAGAACATACGATTTGGGATGTTCTCCAATTCCATCCGCTTACCAGCGAATGATAACATTTCGTTCTCTTCATGGCTGCATAAAATTCCATTGTGTATAGATACCACATTTTCTTGATCCATTTGTCAGTAGTGGGGCATCTTGGTTGTTTCCATAGCTTGGCTATTGTGAATAGTGCTGCAATAAACATGGGTGTACAGGTGCCTCTGGAGTAAACCTTAATGAAAATTTTAGTGTTAGTGTCTCAAACTTTATAGGGCATACAGCACACAAGTTCCCCCAAGGATCTTTTATTTATTTATTTTTTTGGTGGCACCAGGATTGAAACTCAGGACCTCACACTTGCCAGGCAAGTGCTCTTACTGCTCGAATCACTCTGCCAGCCCTGTTTTGTGTTGTGTTTTTTCAAGATAGTCTCCAAACTGTTTGCCCAATGAGGCCTTGAACTGCAATCCTCTTGATCTCTGTCTTTCCAATAGCTAGGATTACAGTGTGAGCCACTAACACCTGGCTCCAAGGATCTTTTTAAAATGCAACTTCTGATTTAGTAAGGCTGAATGAGTCCTAAAATTCTGTACATCAAGAAGCTCCCAGTTTTTGCTGCCGTCAGAGAGATGGAGGATAAGTGAGATTCCTTCATGGTTTCTGTCCTCACTAATTTGAGTTTGTCTCTTTTTGATCTGTTCAGGTTTGGTCGCTGGCTACAGTGGCTACGGATCTTTGCCTTGGTCCGAAGTCTGACCCAGATTTGGAAACACCTTGGGCTCGACATCCATTTGGGCGACAGCTGCTGGAGTCCCTGTAGGTTTTGGGAGCTAAAAGTGAGGAAAATGAGTGATGTCAACTTTAGGTCTGTAAACACTTTAATATTACTGCCTTAGAGAAAGGTGCAGAGGTCAGGGGAATGATGGAAAGACGTAGGCCCTTTCCTTTTAGCACTGAAATAACCTCTGTGCAGAACAAACCAATTCCAGCAAAAGGAATTATACAACATTTGTCACTTAGAACAAGATTTGAGACCCTGAAGACTCATATCATATGTGTTTCTGAGAGTCTTGCTTAAATCTGTAAATCACATCAGCCTCACCACAGGCCTTTGAGCTCTGGAATGGCAAGTTTCTACTTGGGATTTGGCCCCATGAATAGAGAATTGTTTGTTGGTGTTGATGTTCTGTCAACACCAGGATGCTTTCACTGTTAGGCATGAAAAAAACATTGAATTTGTGTTCAATATATTACACTGAAATCTGGCAAGCTAGAATTATACACAATGATTTACCACCAAGTAGTATCACTGAGTCTCCATCACACTGGGGCTCAGGGCCTGGACAGGGAGTTCCACTTCCTTCAGGGTGAAGTTTGCTTTCCTTACTTGTTGAAGCCAGACCTGGGATACCTTCTTGTGCTTCCATTGTCTCATCCTTAATACAGGGATTATAGTGCTTGTTGTACCTACTTTACATAGGACTTCAATAAGATAATCAGTGTGAGAACACGTAAAAAGATTAGACACTGAATGATAGGAAGGCATCGGTATTCCATCACAAGGGCAAAGTCTCTTGCATAACTGTTCTGAAAGACAAAAGGGGTGGGAGTACCTAAAAAAGTAGTACTTGTTCTTATGTGGTAGCTCATATTCATAATTCTGCTTCAATGACCTATCCACCATAGTGTGATGGCACAGTGTTCTCTAGCACTTCCTATAGCTTTAGGTATATCAACGACCCAAAAAGCAGTAAGATTCTTCCTTAGAACTGGGAAGACTGAAAGAGCATGGAACACCTCTTTCAGGTGTTAGGTTAGTCTGCTTAGTTTCTGGAGAAGTTGCATTCTTGCTGGAGCTCCTGCCTAGAGACCAGCCAGAAGCTTTCAAATTGGTATCCAGGTCATTTGTAATACTCAGATAGCTTTTTATTCCAAAACAAATGTAGCCAGATTCACAGTACATCAGACACTGGTTCTGTAGAAACCCCAGTTTACTGACAGGGTTTGAGACAGGATGGGGTCTCCTCTACCCTACCCCATGGCAGTGACCGTAGTTGTTGTCCTTCCTCCATCCCTCCTCTTGATTTGTTTTGTTTTCTCTCTCTGTTTTTTTCAGGTTGGCTCATTATTGCCAACTCCGGGATGTTCAGACCTTGGCTATGCTCTGCAGCGTGTTTGAAGCCCAGTCTCAGCCTCAGGGGATACCAAACCCCTTCGCGCCTTTTCCTAACCGTTCTTCTAATCTTGTAGTATCCCACAGTCGATATGTAAGTGTGTGGTTTTCTGGTTTATGTTGATGAGTTTTCCTTAATGTGGAATGGTGTTCTGATGCCAACGTGTGTTCCTCCTACCTTCTAGCCCAGCTTTACCTCCTCTGGGTCCTGCTCCAGTATGTCAGATCCAGGGCTCAGCTCTGGTGGCTGGAACATAGGTTGGTATGGAAATGATGCAGCCTGCACTGGACTTTCAGTACCCTAGAATCTGTGTGCAAGTTGATGATATGTAATCTTTAGTTGATGCATATTCTCCATGCTTTTCTTTGCTTCTTATTTCTCTCTGTTTGGTGTGATAAGAATACTATTGCATGTTGCATGGGCCAATTCCTGGAAGGTGTTTGTGCTTTGTTGGAGTGCTTTTCATCTTGTAACCTTGAGAACTGGCAACTTCACATTACTCACTTCCAAAAACCTAACCCTCACGCTTATTCTCACCACACCCTGCAGTGCTGGGGATGGAACCCGGTCCTTTTGTAAGCACTTTTAGGCAAGTGCTCTACCAGTGAGCTGCATCCTCAGCCCTTTCCCTACCCCTTCATATGCTCCTTTCTGCACTCATCTACCACATCTTATCACCTACCTCTTTCCATGACTGCTTTCACTGTAGAAAAATAAAGCTAGGCTTGACTCCACTAAGTTTCGTGAGCGGGTGTCTTTGTGTTTCCTCAATTTAACCTTTTTTTTTTCCCAAAAATGATCTTAATTTCTTTTTTTTTCCCTTCTTTTTTTTGGGGGGATAGGGTCTTATAGACCAGAGTGGCCTCAAACTTGTGATCCTCCTGCTTCTGCCACTTGAATGCCTTCATTTTCTGGGTTATAGAAGTAGTACATGAGCTGGACATGGCTCATGTCTATAGTCTGAGCTACTTGGGAGACAGTGGGAAGGATTCCTTGACCCCAGAGGTTTGAGGCCAGACAAGGCAACATAGTGTCAAAAAAAATTATATATAAAAGTAGTGCATGCCCAGTGAAGCAAAAAGTATTAGGGAAGAAAATAGTAATTATTGATTGCCCTCACCTAGGAACATTTTCTTCCTCTGTGTGTGTGCATGTGCTATGTTGTTTTGTGTTCTGTTTTTAATTTTAACATGAGCACTTAGGTCCTTTAACAAGTCTTTATAATTACTGCATAACATTCTTCTATACTGCTATAGCATAATTTGCTTAATTTTGTGTGTTTAGTTACTAGCTTCCTTTAGTAATAAATACCTGTATAAAGAGGTAGGCAAGAGATCTGTTCAGTTATATTTCTCAGAATGTTCAGCTTAGATTGTGTTCCTTCCAATCAGTTGGACACACTGAGGTGTGAGATGTGTGAGAGTTTTCAGATATTTCACATGCCTTCTCTGATTGCATCTTCTTTTCTCATCTGCTTTTCTTCAGCGGGAAGAGAGGCAGAACATGTATCTTCACCTTGGGGAGAATCTTCACCAGAAGAACTCCGCTTTGGGAGTCTGACCTACAGTGATCCTCGTGAGCGGGAACGTGACCAGCATGATAAAAATAAAAGGTAACAACCTTCCCAGGAGAGAGCTGCAATTCCAGAACTTGAGTTTCCAAAATCAGGACTCTTGCTTTAAGAAAAATGTAAGTGCCACTTGGTACCAAGCTTGTTTATTTCTTAAAGGAACTGACAGGAAATCTTCTGAATTTTTTCCAGGCTTCTGGACCCTGCTAACACACAACAGTTTGATGACTTCAAGAAATGCTATGGAGAAATTCTCTACCGTTGGGGTCTGAGAGAGAAGCGAGCAGAAGTGCTAAAGTTTGTGTCCTGTCCTCCTGATCCTCACAAAGGGATTGGTGAATATGAATTTTTCTTTTCCTATAGCTGTCTGAAACATTCTGTAATTTAATTCGTCCACAACCTCAGCCTAGGCATGAAGTTTTAGTTTCTCATTTATAAGCAGAAATTTCTGAATTATTTTAGCTCTCTTCCAAGCTTCTGAAAACCCTTGCATTTCATAACAAGATTAACCTTCTGTTGTAAGAAAAGTAGTCTTAGGTGTACTACTCAGAACTGATTGGAAGTAGGGATGTTTATCCATTTATTCAGCTGCTATGTATCAAGCCCCTGTTAGGCACAGTGCTCACACATTCTTTTCCCTCATGGAACTCACAGCCTGGTGGGACAGAAAACTTAAATAATTAAAAATTGTGATAAATACTAATGAGTAAACAAATTTGATGTTGGAGCAGGGAGAGCAAGGAGAGAGGATTTTAGGAGATGTGTTGAAGTGCACTGGGAATGCCTCTCTGAGGAGCTGAGGTCCAAAGAATGAGGAGGAGCCATCAGGCCAGAGCAGTGAGAAGAGCGACATTCCCTGGTGAGGGAGCAGTCATGAGAAGTGACTTGTTACTTGAACAAGTGAAGGAAGACCAGTGTGGCTAGGACACAGTGTGCTAGGAGAGTGGTATAAAATTAGAGTACATTCTCGAGTTGTAGTTGGATAGAAAGAATAACTTCTGATGTTTTATAGCACAGTAGAGTAACTATGATTGACAAGAATTAATAAATACTTCAAAATAATTAATAGAGAAAATTTTAATGTTCCTCAAAGAAATTACATATGTCTAAGGTGATAGATATACTAGTAACCATAATTTGATTGTTACATATTGTATACATGCATTGAAATTATGCATAAATATGTACAATTAGTATGTGTCAATTAAAATATATTAGTAAAATATTTTTGAATAACGAAAAGAAAAGAATAAAAATGTAGATTGTAGGATTATTAGGACCATAGTAGGCAGAGACTGGTAGGTTATAACAGTAAAGAATTTGGATTGTATTCCAAGTCCAGTGGTAAACTTTAGGGGGCAATAAGAAATAAGTGTGTGCTCTGGTTTACATTTTTTTTTCTTTTATTATTCATATGTGCATACAAGGCTTGGTTCATTTCTCCCCCCTGCCCCCACTCCCTCCCTTACCACCCACTCCTCCTCCTCCCTCTCCCCCCCCTCAATACCCAGCAGAAACTATTTTGCCCTTATTTCTAATTTTGTTGTAGAGAGAATGTAAGCAATAATAGGAAGGAACAAGGGTTTTTGCTGGTTGAGATAAGGATAGCTATACAGGGCATTGACTCACATTGATTTCCTGTGCGTGGGTGTTACCTTCTAGGTTAATTCTTTTTGATCTAACCTTTTCTCTAGTTCCTGTTCCCCTTTTCCTATTGGCCTCAGTTGCTTTTAAGGTATCTGCTTTAGTTTCTCTGCGTTAAGGTCTGGTTTACATTTTAAGAGGATCATTGTACCTATTATGTGAAGGAAGGACTGGAGGAGGCAGAGTAGAAGTAGAATGACCATTTGGAAATTGCTAGTGGTTAGAGAGATTGGTGGCCTAGTCTGAGGGTGCTGTCAATGGAGGTGGAGCAAAATGGATAGATTAAAAATGTATTTTAGAGGTAGACGCAACATGATTTGCTGTTAATACTTTGGATGTGGAGTTGAGGAAGAGAGAGAAAGCTTGGACAATTTCTAGATGTCCAGCTTCCCAGCAACTGGGCAGGTGGTAGTGCTATATTTTTTGATGAAAGTCTGGAAGAAGATCGTGAGCTTAGTTTGGGAGAGTCAGAGGTTATGTGTGAGAGTGGACTGGAGAAGTCATGTGGGCAGTCAGATGTGCATCTGGTGCTCAGGAGATTGGGGCCAGAGCTAGAAATCTGGTAATCTTCAGCATCCAGGTGGTGTTTAATCTGTGAGAATGGGTGTAGTTACCTGGGAGCTGACAATGGAAAGGAATAATGCAGGAAAGAGCCTGCCCAACCTGTACCTTTAGAGAAGTGAGCACTTGGAGCTGGGTCCTAGAGAAAGAATCGAATAGAGACTTAGAATGTTTTGATGAAAAACTCGACTGTGATACAAAAGAAACAAAGCAAAGAGATTTTTTTTAAAGAAAGAAATGGAAACCATGTGCTGATGGCTCATGTCTGTAATCCTAGCTACTCAGGAGGCAGAGATCAGGAGGATCGTAGTTTGAAGCCAGCCTGGGGAAATAGTTCGCAAGATCCTATCTCGAAAAAACCCAAAAAGGGCTGATGGAGTGGCTCAAGGGTAGGCCTTGAGTTCAATCCCCAGTACCACAAAAAAAATAAATAAAAAAGACTGCCAAAGAGATAGTGAACTGAACATTGATTCGCTCTCTCCCAGACCCCCCTCCCCCGCCAAGTGTCCATATAAGAGCTTTTCTGTAAAGGCAAAACTGCACAAGAAGTAATATTGGCAATAAAATTTGGGATCTGTAAAGCATATAGGTTAGTGGTGGCTGATTTTACAGGTCCTCAGAAAGCTGAATCCTGAACTTTAGTCAGAAAAACATGAAGGCCTCTTGCAGAACCAGCACAACCCCCATGTGGCTTAGGAATCAGTGGTATCCAGTACCTCTGGGAGGGACTTGAAGGTGCGATTAAAAACCAGGGTCTTGTTTGATGGTCCTTTTAGGATCCTCAGATTCCTACTCCTCATTTGCAGATCAGGGTAATGACCTCCCTATAGTCCAGTAGAAAACTGAAAATTTATTCCTCAGAGAAGACAAACATATTTCTAGGTAGAATGGGCCCACCAACTACCTGCTATAATGAATATAGGCAGACAAGTGATACAGAGGAGACCAAGAAGCTTCCAGAGAGAGAACACAGAAGCCCTGAGTTCAAACCCCAGTACCACCAAAATCAAAAACAAAACAGAGAGAGAACATAGGTCACATGCAGAGGATGAGGAATATGAATGGCATCACACTTCTGAGGAGCAGTTCTGGAAATGAAATGACAGTGCAGTAATACCTCCAAAAGTCTCAGGAAAACTATTTCTAACCTATAATTCTGAACCCAAATTGTCACTTAGTATGAAAGCAAACCTTCAGCCTATCTAGGAAGGAGGACTAAATTCAATCCAGGAAATAAGGGAGTTACAGTGTTGTGCAGGAAGCTCACTGTGACAGACATAGAATCCATATTGGAGATTCAGGAGCCTTGGCTGTAAGGAGAGGAAGATGAAAAAATTATCTAATGTATTTCAGTGTTCAGTGTGTTTAGAGAAGATTCAGACATTTGAGGGAGAGTTTGAGATGAATTATTGATAAGTACATAGAAAACCAAGCAAATGAAAAAATAAAGAGATAGCTACTCTGGGAAAAACAGAATGTGCAAGAAAAGTGTCATAAACACATGGCTTAAATAATGTTCACCTAGGCAAATAATGTACAGGCAGAATATGATCCAACCAAAATAGAACCATGTGGGGAAGATGAGGGCCAGGTGGTGCCTATGTGTGGTGAGGAGACTGGAGGAGTTTCCTCTGTGGAATGCCAATACATAATGCTTAAACATGGTATCCAAGAAATCCAAGAAATAGCTTTGCATACTTTTGTAATCATGGCACAGGGGGCTGAGGCAGAAGGTTCTAGACTTTGAGGCCAGCCTGGGATACATAGGGAGAGTTTGAGGCCAGCCTGGGATACATAGGGAGACCCTGTCTCTAAAGAGAGAAAGGTGTGGGGGGGGGGGGGAGGAGAGAGGGAGAGGGAAGGAAGGAAGAAAGAAGAAAGAAAGAAAGCTAGCTTTAAAAATGTTGTTTAGCAATAAAGGGTAAAAACTAAAGAAACAGTTGAATGAATTGAAAGGCTATCCTGCAGGGAGTCATGGGGGTGCAGGGTAGAGGGAATACTGGGTTTCATAGTAAGATACATAGAACTGTTTGACTTTTTAAGTTGTATGTATATATAGTTTCAGTTTGAAGAAACAAACCAGATCAACACAGAAATTTAGGCAGTGAATAACAGATTATATACAACTTGAAGAAATGCAAAGGTACAAATGCTATCTGGGCAATATATTTTTTCAGAGCATCTCAATATTGGAAAGTATTCCAGAAGAAGCTAATGATAGCCTAGAGCAACTTGGCTTTTAAAATTAGGTTTTAGGAGAACATATGAGTCACAGGGATATGGAACTGATGTATCAGTCCAACAATCAGCTGAACGCTTACTGACATCTACTGCTGTAAATCACCATGCTGGATTTTGTAGGCTATACAAAGAAATGAGTGTGGTCTGGGAGTAATCCAGTGAGAGAGTCTGTAACATAAATTCACAAACTCCTAAGTGATAGTCGAGAATTAATTAGGCTGGTGGAATGGCTCAAGTGGTAGAGCACTTGCTTAGCAAGTATGAGACCCTGAGTTCAAACTCCAGTACCATCAAAAAAAAAAAAAAAGACTAAAATTCTCAATATTGGGGCCATGCAGGCATGGTGGTGCACAAGCAGAGTACAAGCATGAAGAAGCCCTGAATTCAAATTCGTCAGTACTGTGAAAAAAAAAAAAAAAAGAGAAAAGCTGAGGGCATGGCTCAGGCGGAAGAATGCCTGTCTAACAAGTGTGAGTTCAAACCTCAGTACCATCAAAGAATTACTATAATCCTAGTACCAATAAAAACAATACCATGTGATTTTTAAAAGGGGACAGGAGAATTTCGAAAAAGATTCACAGATGAAAACATTAAGAGAAGTACTTTCATCTGCTAAATTTTACATGGGAGTCCAGAAGGGGGGGGGACAGGACACAGCAGGGGTGTGTGTGTGTGTGTGTGTGTGTGTGTGTGTGTGTGTGTGTGTGTGTGTGTACAGCAGGGTGTGTGTGTGTGTGTGTGTGTGTACAGCAGGGTGTGTGTGTGTGTGTGTGTGTGTGTGTGTGTCTTAACTGTCTATGTGAACCAAACTGATAATGAACTCAGGATCGTCCTGCCTTCACCTCCCAAGTGCTGGGATTATAGGCATGTACCACCACACCAGGCCATA